CAGAGACAGATCCCCAGTGAAGACCTCGTCACCTGGATGGCCATCGGCACAAGACCACAGGAACCAGTTGAGTCCTCTGCACAATCTGACTTTGCTGCAGCATGGAACAAACTCCTGATTCGTCTGGCCAGAGGAGAACTGGCCCCCTGACTGAGCCTGGTATCTCCCAAGGATTTTTTTCTCCATTCTGTCATTGATGGAGTTTTGGTTCCTTGCCGCTGTCACCTCTGGCTTGCTTAGTTGGGAAAACTTAATTTCCAGCGATATCGTCGACTTGATTGCACAGATACTATTTAAACTGAACTGAGCTGGACAATGACATCACTGAATTCAATGATGAACTGCCTTAAACTGAAAATTGAGTGTTTACTATTGTCGTTTTACATTATTGACACACTATTTTCCTATTTGATACTGTAAAGCTGCTTTGACAAAATCTGTATTGTTAAAAGCGCTATATAAATAAAGGTGACTTGACTTGACTTGTGTGTGACCTTGTTTTTATATCCTGGTGGGAAAACAAGCTTATAATCATATAGAATGAGTATTTTTGAGAATGTAAAAATGCATAAAGTTGTCTGTGAGGGGTAGGTTTAGGTGTAGGGCTATAGAATATACGGTTTGTACAGTATAAAAATCATTACGCCTATAGAGAGTCCCCACAAAGATAGTAAACCTGTGTGTGTGTGTGTGTGTGTGTGTGTTTTTTGGGACCCCTGTTTTACTTCTATTTAAACTCAAAGCAGATTTAAAGACATCCCAATCTTGTGAGAAAACGCTGTTTCATAAACTATTACATAAATTTGTGGCAAACATGTATGAATTTGTACAATTGCATAATGGTCCAACCCAGTTTCACATTTGGGTTACAATCCTAATCCACATTTGGGCGTATGCAGATTGTATGAAAATTCATATGAATTCACCACCAATTCACCAAAACATAAAATAATTACAAAATTGCCATGAGAGCATGTTGTTAAAGATGCTTATAATGGCCGTAAATCTGGCACTACTCGAGCATTCGCAAGTTACATTTTACTGGTGATGTGCGTGTACTAATGTGTCATCATAAAACATGCTCACGCTGACACGGTTTGTGTGTTTGAGACGTCAAAACAGAGGTTAACCGTGTTCAAGCGCACACGCAAGCCACATCCTTTCATGATTTCATTCTGTTTGATCTACTGATATCAAAACAGCAAATGGAGGTCGCAAGATTTGGAAAGGACAGCACATTTAAACATTTTCAGACCTGACAAAGCATGTAAGCGAAATCGTTTGCACCACAAACACACAATCTTTTCAGGCATCTAATTCACAGTTGAAAATCTTGGACTTGGAGATTCATACCTAGTTTCATACCTACCCTGGGAAAACCCCAAAATGGCAAAGTCACTTCTTGAGAGGAAATCTACACTTATTGATTGGCATCTGTTATAATAAATAAAGGCTGTAAACCAAAGGATCTTAGGGCTCTTGTTTGTTTTCCTTCAGACTGTCTCAGACATGCCAAGGTGGATCAGTGGGTTCAGTCTCTTGAGAAGCTTTTTTTTTTTTTTTGCTTAAGTTATTTTAATGAATCTAAGCATGACAATAACACATAGCTCCTTAAAGAGGCATTCATTAGTATCACAATGCTTTTAGACACAACACTGCCATCTACCGACAAAGTTCTGAATAACCGTCTATGGATTTTATGTAAACTACTGATGCTAGTGAGTTTTTGAGTTTTTGAGAGCGATATTAATACCCATGCCTGTCCATCAATAACTCTTTCCACCATGTTTTTTTTTTTTTGTCTGTCTTCTAGCTTCAGACTTTCTCTGCTTCCTTGACCTTGGTTCTGATTCTCCCATTGTCTTTGCTGGTAAAGCATGATAAGTCAGTTTCATTATCTAATGTTCATGCTTTGCATCACTAGTAGCACATCTTAGACCTTGAATTTAATGCAAATGAAAACCAGACTTTGAAGAATAAACGTAGTCTTCACACTGGCACACTGTATATAGGCCTAGATCACAGACTTTTTACCAACTCGCAACTTTCAAAACTGTTTTATGGAATTTTTGGTCTCCTAAAAGTCTTTCTCTCTGTCTGTCTACCTCACTCTCTTTATAAAGATAGCCTAAATTTTTATTTTAAATGAAATATGATGCTACCCTGGTCTATACGTGTAAGGATTCTTTTTGAAGTTTAATAAAACAACACTGTTCATTATTTTGGTGTACATTCACAATATACACTGAACAAAACTAGCTGAACTCAAAGATCTAAGACTTTTTCTATGTACACAAAAGGCCTATTTCTCTCAAATATTGTTCACAAATGATTGAGTGTTAGTGAGCACTTCTTCTTTGCTGAGATAATCCATTCACCTCACAGGTGTGGCATATCAAGATGCTGATTAGATAGCATGATTATTGCACAGGTGTGCCTTAGGCTGGCCACAATATATATATATATAATTTATTATTATTATTATATATATTTCTGAATGTTTAAATTTTTTTAATTACCACCATACTGAATATTTAAACCATAAGGATATTGCAGCTATTGCATATATAAATATGCGTTAATGCAACTGTATGTAAGTCTTCCATCTTTAAATATCAGTTTTAAAATCATTCTGTTGGTTCACTGACTTTTAATAACGAATGGCTTGTGTTTCTTTTCAGGAGTATGTAAATTTGATAACCGGGAACGAAATTCCACAAAAATGACTAATTGCTTTATGGCAGCAACAAATGCACGTGTACAGCTCTCCGCCGTAGGCTACAACAGTGCAACAGCGAATTCCACTCACTTAACTAGGCGGCTCCAAATTCGCAAAAATACAAACAAACAATTAGAGCCTACAATTGCTTTAACATTTAAACATTAAGTTTGCTTCATCCAATGAATGATAATGTTTACTTTATAGTTTAATTGTTCCTTTTTAACGTTAAAAACATTCAAATAGCCTACATTTAATATATTACATAATTAAAATGTAGGCTAATATGTTTCAGTCTATCAATGTGATAATGCAGTACAGACAATAGTGATTATTTCAGTGGCTTTGCAATATAAGAATCATAACAAAGTATGTCAAATGAATATGGTAGCTATGCAACAATATGTAACAATAACAGTATTATATAATAAGTAACAAGGTGTCCATGCTCCATCTCTCTCTATACACTATGGGGGTCCTTGGCTTGTACAAGGTTAAAAGCACAACAGACAATCTATAGCCTGATGGAGAATAATGCCTGTCCTTGATTCTTTCATTCAGATATGCAGGAGTCTGTGCATCTTGGAGGATGAGTGGTGACTGACCGATTTTGTGTTGAGCCTGGTCTGACATGAGTTTTATCTCCTGTAGAAATGACAAATGAAATGCTGACACTGAGGCACTAACTGGTCCTGGGTCAGCGAGACACTGCAGCAGGACCGTTTCTAGCCAATTTGACGCCCTAGGCGAAATCCCTATTGCCCCCCCCCATACTGCAGCCCCAAAATTGTGATCTTTGGTAAGCAAGTTTATTCCTCTTTCAGTAAAGTGACATTCTGTGCAAAGCAGAGAGTTTTGAGAAGTCATGCTGACAGTTTGCTAAGGAACTAACTGGCTGTGTTTTTAATCTGCAGCAGAATTATGGTAAAATAATAAAAGCTGAATTATACTAAATGAGTTTTCATTAAATATATGTATTCAGTTATTTCATTAATATATTCAGTTTTAAAGTTGTCTAAGGCTCCTTTTCCAGTTGTTAATGCATTTACTCAAGATGGGCAAAATATACTGTACCAATCTTTATCCAGAGCCCAGAGTAGTGCTTAGTATCAAGTCAGAATGAATGCTTGTCAAATCAGTATCTGTAGACTGCACTTTACAAGAGCTCATGGCTTCAAAGGATTGGCTTCAATAATAAATGTGGTCAATAGCGTCATCTAGTGGAGAGTGGCAGGCACTTTAATGAAAAGCTACTGACATTCAATCTGTACACACATTGTATCAACTCATTTTTACCAGTTTATATATTATATTGTATTATATACAGTGTTGGGAAGGTTACTTTGGAAATGTAATAGGTTAGGGAGTGTGTCTGGAAAAAGTCATATGTAACCCCCTTTGTAATCCTTAACATTTTCATAAGTAACTGTAATTTAATTACACATTTTTTCTTAGTAACTGTAACTGATTACAATTACTTTTATTTTGTAATTAAATTACGTAATTCCGTTACATGTAACTAGTTACTCCCCAACACTGATTATATATTAGATTAGATTAGATTAGTTTTCTATTTATGGAGTCACCTGATCAAACGTGTTGCTAAATGCACTAGAAACTGTAAAAAGTCATTTAAAAGTTAAAAGTAAAAAGTTAAAGTTATTATTGAGCACTTTTGGTGGTTATTTTGAGTATTTTAAGAACTCATACAAAATCTTTTACAAAATGATTTAGAATGTATCCGGACATAGGCTATATATTTATATAGGCTATAATTAAATTAAAATCTTAATTATTTAAAGTTATTATTTTGCCCTTTTGGTGGTTATTTTGAGTATTACATATGGGTTTCGTTGATAATTTCAATATGCAAATGAATACAAAAATAAATAGCCTATATAATCCCTATATCGTACACATGAACAAATTTGCGAAAAGTAGATAGAATTTTTTTTTTATTAAATATATTTTTTTTATTAGAAACACTGATCTATAATAGAGAATATTTATAGATCGGTGATTTGAAATTATATTGTTCTATTCTTCCTTTGCTGAATTGAAAAATTAGTTTATTCGCATGCTTCACACACTTTTTTTTTTTTTTTTTTTTCCATTAGGAAAGGATTAGGATGTTTGTGAAAATACATTTTGAAAGTACATTCATTTTTAACCCAACCACCTTCCTTCACTCATAATAACAAGTCATTGTATATGGAGAATTGGAGAAGAAGAAAAAAAAACACCTTCCTCTTGGCTGAGAGTTAGCTGATTGGTGGAGACAAAGCCGGAAGTGACCTGACGCCATCGCGCTCTGTGAGCAGTCATAGAAAGCGCGCGAGGAGGAGCAGGAGGGTTTACTGGTATGTTGTGTCTGTTTCTCACACTTGACTTTTGTCATAAAACTTGACATAAAAACACAATAATCACTAACATATAGCTTCCGCTTGTCTGTTTTACATGTCTGCAGTGGTTTTAAGGAGCTAACAGTAATTGGTATCGGTCGCGTGTCCGTTAACATTTTAGCAGAAAGCGAATTTCAATGTGACATAAGTGTTTATGAAACCCAAGTAAGTTAATATTGTAACTTACCTGCCCAGTATCTCACAGTAAATTTGCTGTATTAAAGTTTTCAAAGTCGCCTCGAGCGATGTCTTAAAAATGTTTTCATGTTTTGATTTAATTTGAATTAACGTTACGTTTCATTTTGCGCTCAAATTGTCTGTCAGTAGCCTATAATAAAATAACTATTAATGTTGAATTGTGTTACTGAATATCTGATCTTTCGTTATGCGACGTGCGGAACGATTTTCTGTGGAAACAGCCGTGATAGCATCAGTTATGTCACCTTTCCTTTAGTGGTTTTGTCTTGGTTCCTTTGATCGTGGTCAGTTTTGTCAGGTCTGTGTGACAAGGACAGCTCAATGTCAAATCAAAACCAGAACAATACCAAAACATGCCAGTCTATGTTATGCATTTTCAGATTTATTTTTTTGTAGGCTTTCTGTACAATGCAAGTAACTGCAATAAATATATAAGGTTTCAGCTTACACTATTTTATCTGTAAATTTGCCATGTTATAATCAGAACCACTGTTGATTTGTCTGTTTTCTTAAAATATGTATCCAGCCTAACAATACATGCTCTGACTTGACTATTGGTCAAACATTCTTATAATAATCCTCAAACAAAACGGCAATTTAAAAACAACCTAAATGCAGTCCACCTTTGCTTTAACAAATGCACATTTTGTAATCTTGATTGTGACAACTAAAAGGAAATTACAACTTTTATCTCACAATTCAGATGTTTTTCTTGCAATTCATCGGTTTTTTTTGTAGAACTGCTCGATATAAACTCAGAATTGCAAGGTAAAAAGTCGCAATTACCTTTTTTTCTTCTGTGACTGAAACAGCAAGTGAGAAAAAAGTCGGAGATATACATTTGGAATTGCAAGTAAAAAAATGTCAGAATTATGAGTTTATACCTCACAATTCTCTTTTTTTTCTCAGAATTGCAAGAAACATAGTCTGAAATTTGTGAGATAAAAAGTTGCAATTACCTTTTAAAAAAATTTTCTTGAAGGAAATGGGTTTGTTTATGTGTTATAGATCTTACTGTAAACTGGATCTTTCTCTGGTGACACATGCAGGATTTCTCCAGTCATTTAGTCTCTGCCCTGCATTTGTACTTTTCTGATCATTCGTTACACTCAGATCTAATACAGAAGAAAAGATCTGTTGCACCTTTAAAGGAACACTCCACTATTTTTGAAAATAGGCTCACTTTCCAACTCCCCTAGAGTTAAACAGTTGAGTTTTACCGTTTTCGAATCCATTCAGCCGATCTCCGGGTCTGGCGGTAGCACTTTTAGCTGTAGCTTAGCATAGATCATTGAATCTGATTAGACCGTTAGCATCTCACTCAAAAATGACCAAAGAGTTTCGATATTTTTCCTATTTAAAACTTGACTCTTCTGTAGTTACATCGTGTACTAAGACCGACGGAAAATGAAAAGTTGAGATTTTCTAGGCCGATATGGCTAGGAACTATACTCTCATTCCGGCGTAATAATCAAGGAACTTTGCTGCCATACCATGGGTGCAGCAGGTGCAATGATATTACGCAGCACCTGGAATGAGAGTATAGTTCCTAGCCAAAATCGCAACTTTTCATTTTCCGTCGGTCTTAGTACACGATGTAACTACAGAAGGGTCAAGTTTTAAATAGGAAAAATATCGAAACTCTTTGGTCATTTTTGAGTGAGATGCTAACGGTCTGATCAGATTCAATGATCTATGCTGAGCTACAGCTAAAAGTGCTACCGCCAGACCCGGAGATCGGCTGAATGGATTCGAAAACGGTAAAACCCAACTGTTTAACTCTAGGGGAGTTGGAAAATGAGCCTATTTTCAAAAATAGTGGAGTGGTTACATTCATCTTTAAGTGGTTACATTCATCTAATAATAAATAGGTGTTAATCGTTTTTAAGCTAAAACTAGAGACTTTATTTGCAACAAGACAAGGAAAACATACAAATGTACAAATTCCCACTTGTTGTTTGACCTCCTATTAAGTGACGTGGCAGTGTAATGACAATAAAGGATATAAATGACTAGGCATGGGCCGGTATGAGATTCTGACGGAGTCATAACCTTAGATAAAAAAAATATCACGGTTTCACGGTATTACGATTACAGCTCTAAAATATGTTATTTTTAAATGTCTGGGTAAAAAACAACAACTTTTTTTTTTTCCACTGAACATTGTATTTTTAAGAAACATATAGAACATTTTGGAACAGTAAACATGTCAGGCTAAATAATTAGAATAAATAATTAAATTCTTCTTAATTAAATGCAGTCACTTAAGTAAGCCTAAACCTGCAGCTCAATAATCAAAAATATAATTAAAACTATTTCTGTAAAAAATATATATATAAATAAAAAAATTAATACAAATGTGTACGGAACATGGTTAGTCTACGTTACCCAAAAAATTCCCATAAGACAGACTTCGTCTTTTTCGACGGGGAAAAAAGTTCCTTCGGCCATCCTACACACAGGTGACTGACCGCTCGCACCAACCAGAGGGAGAGGGGTCATGTGACTCGTTACGCTCTTCGCTGCACACAACTGAGGGAGTCCTGCACTTTCCGTCTTTGACGACACGTAAAAAAACTGCGCATACCGCAGGAACGGTATAACGGGAAATTTTAGTGGTTTTGAAACCGTGGCTTTTCCAAACCGCGGTATACCTTGAAACCGGTTATCGTCCCATGCCTATAAATGACTGTGTGTTTATTGTGAAAGATAAATGTTTGATGTTTGTAGGAGATGTCGAAGAGGAAGAGCAGTAATTCAGGGCAGACGCCTGATAAGAGAAGCCGGTTATCCCAACCCGAGCCCTCTGAAGAGAATGAAACGGGCTACTTCAGTTCAGGAGATGTTATGAGCACATCACAGAGTGTAAGACTTGCGCATCACAGTACAACTGTCTCGACTGCTTATTTTTGCTGTAAACTACCTTATGTGTAATACCTTATGCACATTCTGCATAGACTTTTGCTTGTGATGTCCCCATACACATCTATGTATGTGTGTTTTCAGGTCACAGGTGAAGTGGGCATCATAGAGAGTATCTCTCTAAGGAACTTCATGTGTCACTCGATGCTTGGTCCCTTTGAATTTGGTCCAAACGTCAACTTTGTCGTAGGAAACAATGGAAGTAAGTCTATCCCCATATTTAATTTTTTAGTTGTATGAAAATAGAGTTTCCTGCGCATGGCAGTCATGGCAATGCTTTACCTGAATTGTGAAGTTTTAGTAACTGTTTTAGATTCGAAATCCAGACTACTTGTTTGAATCAGTCTGATGATTCTTCCATTGAATGAACTCATTGAACCCATTTGATGTTGAAAATAAAGTATCATACATGTTATTCACTCTTTTTTTAGCCTTGACGTTTTCCTCACTTGTTGTTGTTTTGTTTTTGTTTTTTTGAGAGAGTAAAAAAGAACGTCACTTGCCTTGTTCAATAGAACAGCAAAACATTCAGCCTTGTCCGTATTTGCAATTCTTTTTTTAAAGGACATTGTAATATGGTAAAATATAGTAATACATAGTGCTAACATAAATGTGTGGCATAATGTAATAATCAAATATTTAAAGCATTATTCAAAGATTTAAGGGATAGTTCACCCAAAAATGAAAATTCTGTCTTTAATTTCTCACCCTCATTTCATTCCAAACCCATAAGACCTTCGTTCATCTTCAGAACACAGATGAAGATATTTTTGATAAAATCCGAGAGATTTCTGACCCTGCATAGATAGCAATGCAACTGATATATTCCCAGACCCCGAAACATATTAAGGAGATCAGTAAAACAGTCCATGTGACATCAGTGGTTCAACCGCAATTTTAGGAAGCTACGAGAATACGTTTTGTGCGTAAAGAAAACAAAAATAACAACTTTATTCAATAATTCAAACAGTGATATGAGCGTGAGTAATTAATGACAGAATTTACATTTTTGGGAGAACTACCGCTTTAAGGGGAAGTCGTGGCCTAATGTTTAGAGAGTCGGACTTGTAACCCGAAGGTTGTGGGTTCGAGTCTCAGGTCCGGCAGGAATTGTCGGTGGGTGGAGTGAATTAACCAGCGCTCTCTCCACCCTCAATACCACGACTGAGGTGAGACCCTTGAGCAAGGCACCGAACCCCCAACTGCTCCCCGGGTGCCACAGCAATATGGCTGCCCACTGCTCCGGGTGTGTGTTCACGGTGTGTGTGTGTTCACTACTGTGTGTGTGCACTTGGATGGGTTAAATGCAGAGCACAAATTCCGAGTATGGGTCACCATACTTGGCCACATGTCACTTCACTTTCACTTCGCTTTTCACTTTAAGCGGTAAAATAAGTACACCATAGTCTGGACCACTAGGGGGCCACAGAACCCTGGTTGGGGAACATTGCAGCCATAAAAGTGTGCATTGTGCCTCAGAAATATTTCTTGCATCAAATTATAAGAGGTTACTAAGTTTGAACCTTGATCAACTGACAGCTGTTTGAAATAAACTAATTAAAGGAACAGTTCACCCAAAAATATGTTTTGTATGTACCCAATAAAATATTTTTATCACAAGTACAAGAATCTTTTGTATGTACAAAATATGGTCCTTTTTTATTTTGAAAGTAAAATTTTATAAAATATTTGTACTTGTTATGTTTTATTTATTATATTATATTGTTTTAGATATAATTTGTATCTACCATGTAATAGCCAGTGAAGTTGCAATGTCAATATATTTAAATACAACAACCAACTAACCACCCAAAAATGGAAATTTGCTGAAAAATTTACTCACCCTCAGGCCGTCCAAGAAGTTTTTTCCTCTTTGGAACAGATTTGGAGAAATGTAGCATTACATCACTTGCTTATCAATGGATCCTCTGCAGTGAATGGGTGCCATCAGAATGAGAGTCCAAACAGCTGACATCACAATATTCCACAACACAGCTTAAGACGTTCAATTATTGTTTTTGTTTTTTTTTCGTTTTTTTTGCATATTTGTAATGAAATCCATCATTAAGGATTCACTGAAGTGGATTCATTGGTCAGCAAAAGATGTAATGCTAAATTTCTCCAAATCTGTTGAATTTGAAGGGGGGGGGTTAATAAAGTACTGTAGTTATCCATAATTTGGAAGCTAGATCACATAATCATGTATTTTTAAATAGGCATATCATTAACTATGATAAGAAGAAAACAATATATCAAGAGACAGTTGTTATTGCTTGTTATTAATGCTGGCGAAGTTTTTATGACTTTTATTTATAGTTGTTTCATGTACATTTGTGTGTTAGGTGGAAAAAGTGCCGTGCTGACAGCTCTGATTGTAGCCCTGGGCGGTAAAGCTCACACCACGAACAGAGGCTCCTCACTCAAAGGATTTGTGAAGGAAAGAGAGAGGTACGACACACCTATCAGGATTTCACTGCATGTAGTCACAGTCTATTTATAGTCTCACACTGTTTTTGTTTCTGGAATGTTTAGTTCTGCAGATGTGTCCATCACTCTGAGGAACAGGGGTCGTGATGCGTATAAGCCAGAAGTGTTTGGCCAGTCCATCATCGTAGATCTTCGTATCTCCAGCGAGGGAATGCGGACATATAAACTAAGAAGTAAAACAGGTATACTTACAAATACAGAAACCATTTCACCTTTGGGTATACTCACTTACTTTGTGTAGTTTAAATTAGGACTGTGACTGGAAAAATTATTTGTTCGTCAGAGTGCTTGTTTCAGTGATTGAATTTAGTGAAATGTGAATTTGACGTCATGATTTGAAGGTGAACTCGTTTGAGTTATAAGAACATATCCAAACCCTGAAATAACACTTCGAACAATAAGCCAGTGTCATCAGTGTCAGAAATTAACTTTCCCATAATGGGCAACTGATTTTCAGTTTTTTATTTATTTATTTTTTATTTTTATTTTTTTTACCTTTTACCTTTTGTATGTCATCTTTAATGTTAAATTCTTACATCAAATAAATTAGAATAATATGACAATAGGCTGTTACCAATTAAATCAGTATTCAGTGATATAGAACCTGCGTCTGAAGATGATTTTAGATGCATTTACAGTTTAATGCTGATCAGACGGCTGTACGTGCATTTACACAGCAATTACAAATGTATAATGAAATGAGATTAATGTTTTATACAACATTTTTAATACAGAAATATGAATAAAATGAAATGATACTTGAATTATGAAAGTTATATCGCCACTAGGTGGCGGTAAGTCACTGTGTTAATAAAGGAGCCTTTTATTCAATCAATTCGTTCAAAATGCTTCATTCATTCATTTAGGAATAAAATCAAGCGGCTGTCTATTATAATTGGTAATTGCATTATTGTCTATAATAATGGGTTTTTCAAAGACTCTTGATTCATTCAGGAATGATTCACCACTCTATGCGCCTGCTGCGAGTCAGTCACACAATGGTTCTGTGACTTTGGTTTAGTTGGCAGAGAAAATAAAAATTTTGTATGCCATCAGTTAGCTGGCCAATACTCAATATGAATTAAATAAACGTAGGTTGCAGAATTTATGCCTACACAAAAGAACGCTCTGTCTAGGCTCTGCCTCGATACGGTTTGTGTCAAGCCATTCGTTAATCTGGCTGTTTGAGGAAGAGAAAGAGATAAAATGTAGTAGAAATAAACACGTTAAGAATCCATAGAAGCGAAGGACTCTTATTATGTTATTTTAGGACTATTAAATGTTTGGTTGACCACTCAGTGGAGAAGGGCGTTTCATTCCCGCCCACATGTAGAGATCGAATATTCAAGTTTATTCGTTTTCTATCCCTGAACGTAAAAATGAAGCCAAATTCTTGATTTTTCGTTTTGTTTGAACAAATTAAAAACGAAAAATGTGCCGTTTTTTTTTTTCATTTTTCAGATTTCAATATTAAATTAAAAAACGAATGATCGGAAGATACCCTGATTCCTTATGATGCTCCAAACCCGAGATCGAATATTCAAGTTTATTCGTTTTCTATCCCTGAACGTAAAAATGAAGCCAAATTCTTGATTTTTCGTTTTGTTGTAACAAATTAAAAACGAAAAATGTGCCGTTTTTTTTTTTTCATTTTTCAGATTTCAATATTAAATTAAAAAACGAATGATCGGAAGATACCCTGATTCCTTATGATGCTCCAAACCCATAAGATCCATATTCATGTGCAAAACATAAATAAGAATATTTTAAATGAAACCTGAGAGATTTCTTTCCTACCTTTGAAAGTGTATTCCCCAAAACTTTTTACACTTCAAAGAGTTCATAAAGACATTGTAAAAATAATCCATATGAATTGACCTGTTTAAAGGGATAGTTCACCCAAAAAAGTAAAAATGACCCCATGATTTACTCACTCTCAAGTCATCCTAGATAATCCATGTATCATTCGTTCATGCGTTTTTTGATTTAATATTGAAAGTAGAAAAATTAAAAAACGGCTCCTTTTTCTTTTCTTTTTTCTCCAAAAAACGAAAAACGAGAATTCAGTTTAAATTTTCGTTTTTCATTCAGGGATAGAAAAATTTATAAACATCTTGAATATTCGATTTCTACGTGTGGGTGGGAATTAAACGCCCCTTTCTGCTGATTGGTCAGCTGAAGATAAAGACTTGCTGAAAGCGCTTGTAATTAAAGCCAGCATCTAATTCTTTCCTGATGTGTAATCGACAGCCAGTCGAGTCAGATGTGCACATATGCACAGCATATGTGGCATCTGTGGTGCTCCGCTGCTTTTGCTTTAGACTGGATATCAAGTGCCAAAGTTGTCACTTGTCAGTCATACCAAATTCGATGGTTTCATGCCCAGTATTTCACTGCAGAGAACACGCTGTGGTTGGTACGAACCATGTTTATACTCTTTAGTGAACCTGTATTTGTTGTAGCCTGGGTTATATTTATTTTAACCTTGCGTAGTTTTGTTCATGGGGTTTGAGGATGAGGGCAAGTCACACAACCTGTCCATGGTGACATCTGCCTAATTTAGTTGGCTTCTACCACATGACAGATGAGTTAGATCAATAATCTGACAATTTGATTTGCCTGTCTCCCAGGTCGCTTAGTGTCATCAAAAAAGGAAGAACTGATCTCCATTTTGGATCACTTTAACATCCAGGTATGGCTAAAGATTAGTGGTCGACCGATACGGGTTTTTTGACAGCCGATGGCGATGCCGATATCTTGGGTAGCAGGGTGGCCGATATAAAGCCGATATAATTTGATTTATTTTAATTTATATTTAAGAAATTTTAAATCATTTGAAAATGGATTAAAATAATTGTGTAAAATAAACATACTTATACTTTAGAAGATAAAGCTTTTTTCACAAATAAATAAATATTTAATAAAAATCTAATTAAAAAGGAAGTAAACACTGTAACCAACAGGGCACTCAGTATTCTGGGAAGTTTGTGTGCATTGGGAATCTTTTTTTCTTTTTTTTTTCTTTCAAATAAAGCCTATATAAATTATATATTTAATATTTATTTAAATTATATAAATGCGTATTTGCTGAATGCTGACGGCAAATGACAAAGTATTATAATGTTTGCCTTTCTATTACTAATAATATTAAAGCAATCATTATAATACTTTTTTGAATACATTTTAATTCCTTTGTTTAACAGTTCTATCTGATTATTAGATAGACTTCTATCCATATTAGACAGAACTGAACGACGACAGCGAACAAGAGGTAGAATGTGAGCGGTGTGCGCTCAGGCGCCGTCAAAATAAAAGTCCCGCCTCGAACACATCGGCCAAACAGAAAAACTTATCGGCCAATGCCGATATTTGAAAAATGCCAGATATCGGCCGATATATCGGTCGACCACTACTAAAGATCCTCTCAATTCTCTAAATGTATGTTATCAAAACTATTTAAATGATCTGATTTGATTTATCTGATTGGTTTTTCATCCTCAGGTGGACAATCCGGTCTCTATCCTAACTCAGGAAATGAGTAAACACTTCCTCCACTCCAAAGGAGAGGGTGACAAATATAAAGTGAGACTTTGTGTGTGTTTGTGCATTTGTTTCTCTCATAACAAATACAAATTTGAAATTTGCTTTGTTTTTTTTTTTCTTTAGTTTTTCATGAAGGTCACTCAGCTTGATCAGATGAAAGAAGATTACAGCTACATCATGAAGACCAAGACCATGACCCAGAATACAGTGGAGAAGCACAGGGAGGTGAGTGCTGAAATAATCACATTTAGATAGTGGTTTATGTAACTGAACTGAAATTATGTACTGGATGGAGCATCTTTGGAAACAGTATCTGATTGGATTGCTAGACTAGATGCTCTTTAAGATGGCAGTATAGTTTTCTTTCACTCTCTGATTTCTGGCACACCACTTCTTTTCACACAGACTCTACAAGAGCTGAAGAGAAAGTACCATGCGAAAGAAGAGCGCTATAAAAGTCTGGCTTCACTTGATGAAATGCAGAAGAAGTTGGATGAGCTGAATAATCAGATGGCCTGGGCTCTGGTTAGGAATCACTGCCAGCATAACATGAACTGTGACTGCATGGCTCAAATCAAAATGAACACAACAATACTATCATTTCCTAATCAGATTTTATCATTTTCATATTATAATCATATAATCTTTGTAATGGTATACTGTGGTTCTTATACTTTTAATGGCACATTTCTGTTGAGTGGCATGTAATGCACAGCCTGACCAGCCTGATTGACAAACGAATGGATTTTTTAATGATTCGGTCAGAATGACTCAGAATTCATTCGTTTTAATCAGTGTAACAACTCATTCACTGATTGAACCTGAATCATGATTTATTTATGGTTCCCATCTCTAGAAGATCACATGCTTCAAATATCTCTCAACCGAAGATTGTGACCTAATACTGAAATGTATGTCCATATACATCAGGTGGCAGAGGTGGAGCAGGAGATCAAGCCAATGAGAGAACGAATCACTGCTGAAGAGAAGTCCACTGTCAAATATGACCAGAAGGTGGAAGAGTGGGAGGTGACTGAATGTTATCTGGAGTTTCTGTGGTCCAGTTTCCTCTAGTGTTCATGAAACCACACATTTGACTACAGGATAGTTTGGTTTGGGCCAGATTTCAGCTTTTCCTGCCCAAGTATGAATTTTTGGTCAGAATGAGACTTTAAATCAGTCAAATCTTTTTTTTTTTTTGGTTTTCACAATTTAGGGCCAGGTTTAGCAGAAATACATTATTCCACAGTATAGATTCACATTCAAGTAGCTTCATTGGCATGAAAAAAAAAACTTTACATTTCCAAAGCACTGGTAACATAAAATTTCAGACACTTTTAAACACTCAAAAAGTTATATAAAGTGAGAAGTGTGAAAGGACAGGCAAAAAAAGTATGCAATGAGTGTTGATGTTATTGTGAAGTCGGTGGTCCTGTTGCACACCACCTGGCAGCCATGTTTGCGCTTGCTGAGGTTCCTCCTAGCAGATGTGGGAGTTTGTTCTTGATATAGACTGACATGAAAAAATTCAAATAATGGCACAACAGTCAAACGCTTGTATTAAAAACACCTAAAACATTTGTAAAAAATGATTTTCAAATAACCTACTACAAAAGTTGAATAACCTTCAAAGATTTGATGCTGCAAACTAATCAGTTTCTTAATCAAACATGCTCAAGAGTTGCTTAAAAACAGCCAATTTTGCCTTGTTTTCGTTTCATTTTTACAATAAGATTATTTGTCAACACATGACCAATTTATAATTGCAATGGCATGATTTTGGGTTTTCAGCTTTTTTACTGCAAATTAACACTAGATGCACAATCAGGTTTGGCACACCAAGATTTCCTGCTAATTCGTACTGCGTTTTGATAACAATGAGAAATACTCAGAAATCCAAAGAAGAAAAACAGCTACAGTTATGCAGCTTATGTACATTAATGGGCTCATGGAAAGTGTGAAGATTATTAGGATTTATGTATTTTTCTTCCATAATGGCATAGATTAGACCAGCGGTTCCCAATCCCAGTCCTCAGGGCCCCCCCCCTGCATATTTTGCATGTCTCTCTTAGTTAACACACCTGATTCAGATAACCAGCTCTTTAGAAGAGAGCTACGTGCATGAACTGTGTTCCGATTGATAAGATCCCTACTCCCTGAGCAGGGGAAATCCATTGAAGTTTACTTCACTTCGGAACATTCATTCATGTATTTGTGCTGCGCCGCTGCCTGCAGCGTCATCACACACAGACGAGTGTGACATCATATACCTCTGTAAATAAATACAATTTAAATTCACGTCTCGCACACTTGTAATGCCCTTTGAATGGAACATATACACTCGTTTCAAACTGCAATCATGGCGGAATATCCAGTAATGTCCACTTCAAAGAGCACTTACTGTCGAATAGAACAAACGTCGTACGTGATATAAGAGATACATATGAAATATGCAGAGCTGGGGGGGGACTGGAATTGGGAACTGCTGGAATAGACCATTTGCAACAGTAGGCCAATTGCTAGGACATTGCAAACAAAAATTTGCTCTTGGCCACCGTAGATCACGACTTTAACGGCATTGATATTCTAACTCTCATACTGCCATCTTTCAGCAACCCTCAAAGCTTTTTGCTGTTATTTACAGAGCTCTATTGGGTTGTGCACAGCCAGCAGCCCTAGTTACTTTATTGAAGAAAATTCTTAGTGAACATCTAATTATGTTTGATTCACAGTAATGTGCAGTGTGTCTATTTTGGGTTTTGTTTGTTTGTAGGGGAAAGTTCAGGAGGCCAACAGGATATTGGGACTGTTGCAGGATCAGCTGGAGGGTGTGACGCAGCGGATGCAGCAGCTGCAGCCACAGTGTGTGGAACTGAAGAGTCGAGCCCAGGCGTGCAACCGAGATCTCAAAGCCGCCGAGGTGCACAATCACAACACCATAAGAAGGGAAATAGGAAACTTTATATGCTCAATTCTCAGTGCTTTTTTTTCCCATTTTTCTTGGTTTAGGCTGGTCTTCATCGTAAAAAGACTAACTTGAGAGACCTTGAAAAGGATAAAGATCAGCTTAACAAGCGGATCCGAGAACTCAAACACAGGTACTTCAAAAGTGTATCGAAAGGAAACAACGTTACGTAACATTATCCTTGTACCATTTCCAGCTGTTTCATTATGACCCAACCCCTCCTCTCTGTCCAGCATAAGCCATACGAACTCAGCTGACACTCATGCTCGTGTGGAGAAGATGAATCACATTCAGGCTGAGCTGGAACAACTACATTTCCAGGACTCCACTCTGACTCAGCAGATCGATCAGTTTAAACAGGCCTGCTCCACAGCTAAAGACAGACTGGGTAAAATGAGGTTAGTGCAGTTGTTGGTAAAAGTATTTTCTATACACAGGGATCCCACTATGATGTTTAGAATATCTGGGAATTTTACAATTTTCATGCCTGGAAAAGTCGCACCATTTATTGATATTAGTCATGGATGTAAATAAAGAAATATGTAAATGGTATATGGTTTGTTTTTTTAGTTATGTCAGCTAGAAATAAAGTCCCCATAGGGATTTTTTAAAAAGGTCTTCATTAAAAAGTTTTAAGCTTTGAACCAAACCAGCTATTAGGATGAAATTGCAACATTACAAACGTCAAATTAAAGCAAAATTGTTTCAAATTGGACAAAAAGTCAAAGGTACAAGACTGTACATAATGGCTTTAATGAGAGAAAGAACTACCATCCCATGAAGCATTGTGCATGCCATAATTGAATTAAAATTGGTGGAGAAATATGAAACTATTGATTTAAAGATGCTGATTATACATATGGAGACAATTATATTTTACATTTACTGCAAAATATGAATGTTATGCTTGGGAATACTCTAATCCCTAATCATACTCTGCTCTACATCATTCACAGTGCTTCATGGGAGTTGGCGGCACTAAAGTGTTCTTTTGCTGTGATTTACAATTCTCTGATAGGTGGAGATTTCTCTGCAGAATCATGGTTAATGTAGTTTTTCACTAGGAATTCTGCTTTTGAACACAATTATTTAAGAAATAAGTTGAAATAATGCTGCTTCAACAGAAGCGTATACCATCAATTAACCACCTCTGAGCTCATAGTAGGTTTTAAAAAGTCTTAAAGTTATCACTCAAAATCAATTTTTCTATGGAGAAAATGAATATGATTTTTTTTAGTTCTGAAACCCGACTGTTCCACTCTATTACTGGCACTGATAATGGGAAGTCCCAGCAGATTTTCTTGCTTTCATTGAAATTCTGATCGCATAATTCATAATAAAAATTTGGCCCTAATTAAAATAGGAAAAAGGTAAACAAAAACAAAAAAAAGAAGTATTTCACTAGTGGTCCCAAACTTCTGGGTTCACTGGATCTTAAATGTACACCAAAAATGTCCTTGTTTCTAATTCTTATTTTATCTTTTGACCGGTCTCAATTTGTCTATCTTGCAATCTTCCTTTTCTCTTCATTTCGTAGCCGTGAAAAGCAGGACCTGCTGCGTGCGATGGAATCTAAGCGACGTGACCTGGCTGCAATGGAAAGCAGTCGAGAAAACCTACTTTGTCGCTTTGGTGAGCATATGCCAGCACTGCTAAGGGCTATAGATGAGGCTGACCAGCGGGGTCAGTTCAGGAAGAAACCTGTTGGACCGCTCGGTAAGTATCCTGAACCTCAGAATTCAGATTCAGGGGGTTAAAATTTACTTTTAAAATAAATTTGATGTTAAATTTGATTAGTCATCACTTCTGGAGAAAAATAGGGCGGTCACTGGGCAGGGATGAAACTTTCTGGTGCCCATGTGTTCATGTACACAATGAATTAATCTATACTTTGAAAGGCTATGTGTTTTGTCAAAATTGAAGTAAACTTTGGGCTTTAGGAGTAACAGTGTCGTATGGAAGTTTGTTGTTTACTGGTTATTTTGTTTCTAGGATTCTGTGTCCGTCTGCGGGATCCAGAGCTGGGTCTTGCAGTGGAGTGTTGTCTGAAGGCTCTGATGTTAGCTTTCTGTTGCGATAACCACGCTGACGAGAGAGAGTTACAGAGAATCATGAGTCGCCACTTCCAGCAGGGCAGACGACCTCAGATCATCGTCAGCACATTTACCAACACGGTCTATGACGTCAGGGGCAGGTAGCTAGAGATCACCTGACCTGATAACTAATTTAGGAATGATTACCACTGTTTTCTGCCTTATTTTAATTCTCTGCCAGTTTGGTGTCATTGTATTAAAAGCTATTAATAAAATGGTAAATCCACATTTACCAGTTGATCTAAAGTTATTGTGTAAAAAGTCAGGAAAAACCAGAGCTGATGACCCACTTGATTGTTTTTCCTTACTAGTGTCATTTAGAAAGTTTCAGCTTGTTGGTTTCTAGCCAAACTTCACATCTTTGGTTTGTAGCCAATATAAGTTGATCTGTCAAAGCACAAAAGAAAACGTGTATGATTGAAAAAATGAATTAAATATTTTCCTTTTTTTATTGTTTTTCAGGGCTGTCAATCACCATGAATATCCAACTGTGCTCCAGGCACTTGACATTGAGAATCCAGTTGTAGCCAACTGCTTGATCGACATGAGGGGAATTGAAACCATTCTGCTCATCAAGGTAAGACCATGAGGAGGCCGACGAGCATTTCCCTGTTTGATCATAATGTGTTCAATTCTGCTTTGATTTTCCCACAGAACGCTAAAGATGCGAGAAGGGTCATGCAGAGTGAAGACCGACCACGCAACTGCAGGGAGGCCTTCACGCGTGAGGGGGACCAGGTCTACTATAACCGTTACTACTCCTCCGAACAGAACAGAGCACTCTACCTCAGCAGAGATGTCGAAGAGGAAATCAGGTCTGAAAATATGAAATCCATTTTTGAGATGTCTGGATTCTTTTCAGTGCATGGCAAAAATAAATCAATTGACCGTTCGCAAAGACCCGCCCACCCTTAGTTACTGTTGCTATCCCCGACAAACAATGCCGCTCTCACACTACAAATCATGTTCTCACACAGTGAAAAATACATTGCACATCAAAGAGGAAACTGACAACACACCGACAGTCAAGCAGGTTAGAGCAGAGCAGGTTGCTTCTGGTATGAAACAAGGTCTCAGGACTCTCATCTTTAAAATTGTCATTTTTAAAGAAATTCAAACAAAAAATACCGTTTTGTGGCTCTTTAATGTGTCGGGACAGATCGCTGTATTGCCTCAGTTCAAACACGTGTTCCTATCGTCTTTTATGTACTTAAACATGAAAACATGCAAACCCCCGCCCGCGCTTAGTTACTGTTGCTATCCCCGACAAACAATGCCGCTCTCACACTACAAATCATGTTCTCACGCAGTGAAAAATACATTGCACATCAAAGAGGAAACTGACAACACACCGACAGACAAGCAGGTTAGAGCAGAGCAGGTTGCTTCTGGTATGAAACAAGGTCTCAGGACTCTCATCTTTAAAATTGTCATTTTTAAAGAAATTCAAACAAAAAATACAGTTTTGTGGCTCTTTAATGTGTCGTGACAGATCGCTGTATTGCCTCAGTTCAAACACGTGTTCCTATCGTCTTTTATGTACTTAAACATGAAAACATGAATAAACGTCAGAACATATTTTATTTCAACCGCGGAACACGCATTAATTTTTTCAAGTTTAAGTCCACTGAAGTTAATCTCTCCTGTCTGATTTGTGGTTAAGGCTAGAAGGGATACAGCTGCGGCTACTGGGCATGTGCACACCAATAAAGCGTAATTTTTGTCACACTGTACAACAATAATCACTGTTTTTGCATTATTGTTTAGGGTTGGGGTAGGTGTAGACATTAATAAAACACAATCTAACCACCTTTTTCTGACAACAGAAGTCTCGCCCGACTGGAACGGTGCTTTACATTTCTGGTCTCTGGTGTTTCTATTCACATTTACATATTTTCTGAGCCGACAATATAACATGAAACCTATGAAAATGGTTTTAAAAAGCACATGGCGCCATAGTTTCATCACTTTACAGTGTCGTAATGTCTTTTTGCAGTAAAGGACCTGTCATAGTTTAATGAGTGGGAAGATGACATGAAGCGACGCAAGGTTAACTGCATTGAAAACAGATGAGCGCACATATGCATATACAGACAGCTCCCGATCGGGACAAAGTTCATGGGATATTGTCCACAAAATGATAAGAGCACACATTTTAACATATTTTATTATTTCACAGTCACACTCAGTATTTCATTCTTTAAATTAAATGTAAAATTAAGCTAAATTCCTTTAGCTCACGCAGTGAAAAATACATTGCAGAGCAAAGAGGAAACTGACAACACACCGACAGACAAGACAGAGCGGGTTACTTCTGGTATGACACAAGGTCTCAGGACTCTCAGCTGTCAAATTTGGTCATTTTTAAAGAAATTCAAACAAAAAATACCGTTTTGTGGCTCTTTAATGTGTCGGGACAGATCGCTGTATTGCCTCAGTTCAAACACGTGTTCCTATCGTCTTTTATGTACTTAAACATGAAAACATGAATAAACATCAGAACATATTTTATTTCAACCGCGGAACACACATTTTTTCAAGTTTAAGTCCACTGAAGTTAATCTCTCCTGTCTGATTTGTGGTTAAGGCTAGAAGGGATACAGCTGCGGCTACTGGGCATGTGCACACCAATAAAGCGTAATTTTTGTCACACTGTACAACAATAATCACTGTTTTTGCATTATTGTTTAGGGTTGGGGTAGGTGTAGACATTAATAAAACACAATCTAACCACCTTTTTCTGACAACAGAAGTCTCGCCCGACTGGAACGGTGCTTTACATTTCTGGTCTCTGGTGTTTCTATTCACATTTACATATTTTCTGAGCCGACAATATAACATGAAACCTATGAAAATGGTTTTAAAAAGCACATGGCGCCATAGTTTCATCACTTTACAGTGTCGTAATGTCTTTTTGCAGTAAAGGACCTGTCATAGTTTAATGAGTGGGAAGATGACATGAAGCGACGCAAGGTTAACTGCATTGAAAACAGATGAGCGCACATATGCATATACAGACAGCTCCCGATCGGGACAAAGTTCATGGGATATTGTCCACAAAATGATAAGAGCACACATTTTAACATATTTTATTATTTCACAGTCACACTCAGTATTTCATTCTTTAAATTAAATGTAAAATTAAGCTAAATTCCTTTAGCTTATTGCCGTTACTGTGGCAGCCAACAACAGCACAGCTTAACCCTGCGCACATTTTTATATTTAAAAAATGCTTAAATATAAAAACTGAAAAAGTTTCAATTCTATCTTTTTTACCCCGTTTTAACATGAATTTCTATGGAGACCGGCCGTAGCTGTTGGACAAGATGACGGATAGCAACGGCGACACATAATATCCACGTTCTGATTGATCAGATTGCCTGTCAATCAAGCTCTTTGCGAACGGTCAGTTATTTACCACAATTTAGGTTTTTCTAAATTATTAACTTGAGACCGAAATTTCTACATGCAACATATTTTAGCCTAAAGCAGTGGTTCCCAAACTTTTTGCAGCGTGCACCCCTTTCTAGTGTTTGACACATGTCAAGCATAGGGCTGGGTATCAAGTTCGATACTTTTTAGGCACCGACCGAATTGCCTCGATACCATCGAGTATCGAAAAACGTCTCGTCGTTCGGTACCAAATTTCGATACCTAAGGGGTTAATCTCATCAGCGTCAGTGAGCCAATAAGCCTGCAGCACTAGCCGGTGTGTTCGACTAGAAGAGGTGCGGCGCAGATCGATCATCCGCGAGAGCGATTCGAAAGCGCACGGAGCAGTCTGCTCTCTTTAGCTCTCGTGGTACTGTAATACCACCAGTATAGAGTAGCGCGGGAGCTGCGTGGAGTTCCGATCATATGCAGATGTCCGTTCATACTAACGTTACACGACCGAAAGCGCGTGTTATGTGACCATTCATGCAAACTGTAGCATAATGCTACATAAGACAATAAATAAGATTTATACTCCGCTTTTACTCAAAACTCACTTTAAACCACCATCGAGTGTTTGTAATAACTTCCGATTGCCGTCTAATGTATGTTTTGGGCATGAAATGTTGCTGAAATTAAATGTTATTACCTATGAGTCAGAGCAGCGATCATGGAAGAGAGAACACAGGCAGACAGCGCTGGAAGCTGCTAATGCTCATCAGTAAATGAGTGGAAAAGCTATGCGTTTTAAAACGAACACGCATTAGTGTAAATGTAGCCTAACAGATGTGTAAACTGAAGACTATTTGAGCTTTATTAAAACTATTTGCACCGATTTATTGTGTTGGTTACACTTTGTTCCTTTGTGCAGTGGCTCAGGAGATGAGTCTTTGAGTTTGTATAAACATCAACAAGCTGAAAAATAAAACCAAAGTTTTTTTGTTAGATAATGTAATCTTGTTAAAATTGATTTCATAAAATTGGTATCGAAAAAAGTATCGTTCAGGAACCGGTATCGAAGTCAAGGTATCGGTATCGATATCGAACATTTTTGAACGATACCCAGCCCTAGTCAAGCACCCCCACCACTGTACTCCTGTTAAACCACATTTTTTACTGCAATATAAGTATTAATACAAGTATTCACTTTATACATTGACTTGACATTAACTCTTTTGCTCACCAGCCACTGTGGCTAGTGGTTTTCCAAAATTACTAGCCCTTCAGCATTTTCACTGGCCACAATTTTGTTGCTGGAAAATTACATTTTATATGAACTAAAGTTACTGCATATTAAAATTTATTTGAATTGATTTCCAGGTCTTTTTCTTTTTTGCCTATAAAAAGGGCATTTCCCCATAACCTTATTAAATGCATACTGATAAACAGTAAAGTGTGTTCAGCTGAATTCAATTTCGTGTTGTCGAACGGGTATAAAAAAGGTTAGTATACCACGGCATCGGTCGCGACAGCGCTCGTGTTAAGCCCTCCTCGTGTGAAGATCGAAGAGTGTAAAGACCATCGACTCTACCGTGCGACTCCACCGTGCAGGGACGCCGGCAAGGGACATAAGTATCGCTTTTGATTCATCCTTTTTTCTACACCTTCACTTCTGTTTCAGTTTTATGACCAACTCTTACGATGTGTTTCCATTAGTGGTCGACCGATATGGGTTTTTTGACAGCTGATGGTGATGCCGATATCTTGGAAAGCAGGGTGGCCTTTATAAAGCCGATATAATTTTATTTATTTTAATTTATATTTAAGAATTTGAAAATCGTTTGAAAATGGATTAAAATAATTGTGTAAAATAAACATACTTATACTTTAGAACAGGGGTTTTCAACCTGTGGGGCACGGGTTTTCAACCAGTTGGCTCGAGTATCAGTCACGCTTTATTGACAGAAAAACTTATCGGCCTGCAGCACTCTCCAATAATTTCTCATTTTCCCACACTCCCCGTCTGACTGGAAGAGGTGGAGGCACTGGTCTGCTTCTCTCTAACGATTGGAAATTTATTCTTTTACCTTCTCTGGGTATTAACAGCTCCTTTGACTCACATTCAGTCACTATTACCCACCCTTTTAAAATCCATTTTGTAGTTGTTTATCGACCCCCAGGACCACAAGGTAACTTCTTGGATGAATTAGATGTGCTGCTCTCAACCTTTCCTGAGGATGGTACTCCCCTAGTTATGCTTGGAGACTTCAACATCCACCTAGATAAACCTCAGGCTGCAGACTTCCACACTCTGCTTGCCTCTTTTGATCTCAAGAGAGTGTTAACTACGGCTACTCACAAATCAGGCAACCAACTGGACCTTATTTACACACGACACTGCTCCACTGATCATGTACTGGTTACTCCACTGCACACCTCAGATCACTTCCTCCTCAACATGGTTCCTGACACAACACATACCCCTACACATGTCACTTTTCGACGTAACCTACGCTCTCTCTCACCCTCCCGGCTATCTGCTATGGTTTCATCTTCGCTTCCTCCCCTTAAACCGTTATCATCTCTTGATGCTAACAGTGCTACTGATGCTTTCTGCTCCACTCTTATATCTTGTTTAGACACTGTCTGCCCCTTGTCTTCCAGGCCAGCCCGTACCACCCCTGCTGCCCCTTGGCACTCTGATGTTCTCTGCGAACATCGTTTTAAGCTCAGGGCTGCTGAAAGGATATGGCGCAAATCAAAATATCCTACTGACCGTAATGTGTATCAGTCACTGCTCTCTTCCTTCTCCGCTAATGTCTCCACTGCTAAAAGGACATACTATCATAACAAAATTAACAATTTGTCTAACTCTCGCATGCTCTTTAAAACATTTTCCTCCCTCCTTTTTCCTCCTCCTCCCCCTCATTCATCAACTTTAACAGCTGACGACTTTGCCACATTCTTCATTAATAAGATTAAAACCATCAGTGCACACTTTTCCACACCACAATCTGTCAGACACATCTTACCGGCAAACATACACTCGTTCACATCCTTCTCTTCACTCTCTGAGGCAGAAGTCTCCAAACTCATCCTTTCTAATCATCCTACTACTTGTCTGCTTGATCCTATTCCATCTCATCTCCTTCAAGCCATTTCTCCTGCCGTTGTACCTGCACTCACTCACATCGTTAACACATCCCTTCACACTGGTGTTTTTCCCTCAACATTCAGACAGGCTCCTATAACCCCACTATTTAAGAAAC